TTACATACCTTATTGTCAGACGTATTCTGCTTCTCCTCATTGATCACCGTCTCCAGACGGAATCGCTTTCTTGATGAACGCCACCTCAGTAACGGAATCTCGTTGGGATTGTGACTGGGCCATCTTCTCCCAATCTTTTCACCGAAAATAGGTACTGATTCAAACGCCCATATGAGATACGCATGCACAAATCCATGAATAGAGTAAGTGCCTCCATCTAAACACGCAACTTTAATAGATTCTACTAAATGCTTAAAAGCATGACGCCCCCACGGATAACTCTCAAAAGCATCTTCATCCAACACTCGTTTTGCGCACTTCAACGGCACTCAACTATTCCGGTTGAGGCCAAATATTCCGACATGCAGGAGAAGGAGCTTTGCAACCATTTTCTTCTTCGCTTCACTCCATGTCTGACAGCGATCTATGACACGATCCAACTCATTCCAATTAGGACCGTCGAAGGTTTTGACACCCATCTCAGCCCAAAACTCAGTGTGATCAATGTCCCAGCCATCTTCGACAATTGGATCACAGTTGAACCGCGTAATTTCTGCGAACTCGTGCAACGAAAACCTCAACGGTCTACCACCAATCAAAGACCAAACCTCATACTGCCTGTCCACGGCCTAAAGAGGTCGCCCCCGATAGCAACACCGACACGGACGATAACGAATCCGAACCTGAAGACGAATCCGAAGGCCAGCATGTCCCAATCGATATCGAAGCCGAAGGAGAAGACGAACCTGAGGATTGGACCTTAGAAATCGTGGGATACATCGGAGATGGAACGGTCCCCGCGGATAAATGGGCAGCTCGGCGCCTTAAGGCTCGCGCAGCTCGGTATGTGGTCATTAAAGGCACTCTTCTCAGATGGGACGCTTCTGGTGTACTTTTGACCTGTGTTCACGGCAACGACATCGCGGAAGTAATGCAAAAGGTTCACGAAGGGGAAGGAGGAAATCATTCCGGAGCTCGTTCTTTGGCATTTAAGATCAAGAAAGCTGGCTATTACTGGCTTACTATGCTCTCCGATTGCGAGAAGTACACGGCACGCTGCGAAAAATGTCAACGTCACGGCCCGATGATAAATCTTCCCACCGAACTCCTGATGACTTCGACCGCACCATATCCTTTCATGCGCTGGGCAATGGACATCATCGGTCCCTTTCGCCGATCTACGACTCAGAAGCAGTACGTTCTCGTCGTCACAGACTACTTCACTAAATGGGTTAAAGCCGAAGCGTATCCCGAGATCCATGGAATCGATGTCAAGAAGTTCGTTTGGAAATTCATCATCTGCAGACACGGAGTTCCGTACGAAATCGTCACGGACAATGGAACCCAGTTCACTTCGATAATATTCCAAAATTTTTGTGCCAAGTGGAAAATCCGACTAAGCTTCTCTACCCCGCGGTACCCACAAGGAAACGGACAAGCCGAAGCCACGAACAAGACCATCATTGACGGACTGAAGAAACGACTTGATCTCGCTAAGGGAACGTGGGCAGACGAACTTGATGGCGTCCTATGGTCCCACCGAACTACACCGCGACGTTCAACCGGTCAATCACCATTCTTCCTCGCGTATGGCGCAGAAGCTATGTGCCCAGCCGAACTTAACGTCCCAAGCATTCGCCGAACTATGCTTACCCAACAGCCTGACGCGAATGACAACATGATGATCGATGCACTCGACATAGTCGAAGAGCATCGCGAACGAGCACTACTCCGGATACAGAATTACCAGCAACTTGCAGCTCGCTACTACAACAAAAAAGTTAAGGGTCGTCACTTTGAAGATGGCGATCTCGTACTTCGCAAAGTCTATCAAAATACCGAAGAGAAGAACGCAGGAAAGCTTGGTGCGAACTGGGAAGGACCATATCAGATTATGAAGGTGGTTAAGCCCGGCGTTTACCAACTCATGAAGTTAGATGGAACTCCGATCCCGCGATCTTGGAACTCAATGCATCTCAAACGATACTACTACTAGTTCGTTTCGAGCCTCGCCAAAAAAAAAAAAAAAAAAAAAAAAAGCCTCCGAACTACTTAGTCGGAGCAAAAACCCCTTTTGTACTTAGAACTACGAATGGCTTGATCCCTTTAAAGGGTACGTAGGCAGCTCGTTATCGAGTCCAGCTATAACATCAATAAAATTTTATTAAGTCAAAAATGACTAAGTGCTAGTTCGAAATCACAAGGGACCGAACTCCTTGTCTTTACATCGACTTCCTGGCCAGTTGTTCGATAGCATTCCACATGAATGCAAACTTAAAAGCCGAGATCTGTCTCGCGAGCACCCACATGGTGTCGTGGTTAAGCCACATATAAAAAGCCAGGCCCAGTCCCGCAGTTAAGTTTCTAAGTCACCAAGAACAATAAGCCGAGCACATCTCGCATACTTAGGTTCGACTTAGAAAAACCTTGAATTCGTTTCATGCGTTTACAAGAGTTCGAACTAGTTCACTCTTCCAGTACGAAATGGTTCACTTGGGTTCCCCAGGCCGAGCTCGTATGCTCGCACAATAAGCCGAACTCCTCTGATTCGCACCATAAGCCGAGTTCACAACACTCGCAAAACATAAGCCGAATTATCGCAATTCGCTATCAAAAGATAAAAATCGTTTGAACATCATCTACTACGTACCGATCTAGTACTTGAAAGATTGTCTCTAAGGCTAACGACAGGATAAAGTCAAAAATCAAAATTAAGACGCCAAGGCATAAAGAAATAAAAGGAACGATCATATAAAAGCCTCCAGAAAGGTAAACGAGTTCAAACAAAACCCACCAAGGGCTCGGAATTAGAGTTACAAAAGAAACCCATGCAAGGGCAGTTGAGTTCGAAAAGTAAATAAAAATAGGAAGAGATTAGATGGTCTTTGAGGCAGCAGTGTTGAGTATGTCCTCGTTTGAGCCGAACTGCTCACCCCTCGCAGGATCTTGCGCGCTCTGGGTCACATTCACGGCCGGAGTATCATCTTCCTCCACGAACGGAGACATCCTCTTGTCCTCCTCAGTGAGCATGCAAGCATCGATCGCGTTGAAGTCCTCCAGCGCCTTGGTATGCTTCGCTTCAATATCCGCAACCATTTCTGGCGGGACCTCGTACAGACCCTTCCTCCGCAACTGCTTGATGAAACCGAGGACCCCGGTGAGCTGGTTGTAGACCAAGTACGGCTTCCGAGCCTTGTCAGCATCGTCCAAACTCCGGATGACTTTCTCAAGGCGTTCGCAAGCCGTTGCGTGAACGCTCCTAGCTCGGTTCTTCCAGTGGGCCACCAACCTTTGCAGCCGATCCTTGTCTTTCTCAAACTCCCGAGCAAGCATTTTCTGGGCCTCAGTCAGCTCTTGCTTCACAGCCTTTAGCTCCGCACTCTCTTGCTTCAGTAAATCCACCGAGGAATTGAGAGTCTCGTTGATTTGCAACTCGGTGGCAAGGCGCTCCTCAGCTTTGGAGACCCTCTCTTCAAGCTCGGTAACCCTTACTTGCTCATCGAACAGGGCTACTTCATATGCAGCGACCAAGTTATTGGTCTGACTGGCGAACTGCACGGAGGAAACAGAAATTAGAACTCGTACTTAGAAGAATATCCAAGTCTATAAAGGATAAGTAAAATTACCACAGCAGTCGTGTGAGCGATTCCCTTGTACATGTTGGGAAACCGGAGCTCGGGAACCGAAGGAAGGCTAGGCACTTCCGAGGAGATCTTATGATAGAGCTCGGCGCAGGCGTCCACGTTCTCCTCAAAAGGAGTCTCCTCGTCGTAGTCAAAACAAACTCGGACCCTCTTAGCCGGCCCGTGCTCTTGAGAGCCCTCGACATGATCTCTCGTTTGCCTCTTCCGGGAGTGAGAAGCTTCGGCTTGGTCGTGAGGAATTGCGAGGTCCGACGTCGCAATCATGGGTGGTTCGAGCTCGACAGCTGCATCCTGCGCTCGGGATGAATCTTCAGTCTTCTTGACCTTCTTTGAAGATTTCTTCTTTTTCAGCTTCTTCTGACCAACTTGGTCAGGCGAGTTCGCAGCAGGTGGTAGTTCTTCTGGCGGCTCATCGGTCCGTCCGGCAACAGGGACTGGAATCGGATCAGCCATAGCCGGCTCCTCTTCATCAAAGAGAGTTGGGATCTCGTCGATTGAAAGCATCCTGGCAGCTCGAGAGCGTTGAATTCGCGACTTCAACGATTTGCGCTTAGAAGCAGCTCGAGGCTTACTAGCTCGAGTTTTTGGTTTCCGCGGTTTTGGTTCTCGAACGGAGCCTGAAATAAAAATATGTCAAAGGAGGAGTTCGGAGTAATTTAGAATAAAACAAGCGAAGATAGGATTCAATAAGCATACCTGCTTTCTTAGCTCGGCGTTGAAGAATTTCTTCCCACACTTCTGGCCAACGGCGCTTACCGACTTCACTAAAAGCTTCTTCAAGCTCGGAAGTAAGCCCGGAATTGAGGATGAGACTTGGGAGATGCCGACCTGCGAGGATCAGAAAAAGAGTTAGACAAATATAGAAGTAAAAATTAATAAAGTACGAGCTCATCTAGAACTACCGATCGGAATCTTCCACTCCGATTGAGTTGGGATGTCAGAGTTGCTGACAGTGAGATCGTTCATTTCGAGATAGAAGTACAAGGATTCCCAGTCATTGAATTTACTGGGTTTAGGTCCCATAACTAGGTTCTTCTTCGGCTTGGCATTGGCGGCGAAGAACCACTCCTTGGACTTATGAATATTCACCGAGAAAAGATCTTCGAAAAAACGGTTGTAAGGAATTTGGCCGAGTTCGTCGCATAGGGTGACAAATCCGACATAGTTCGTTATGGATGCAGGCATCACTTGTGAGAGAGCTACCCCACGCCGATTGCAGTACCCGATGAGACGAGAGGGGATAGGAAGTGTGAGCCCACATTGCGTGAAGTAGTTCAGATATACGCAAAGAAAGCCTTCGGGTACGTCCCACGGCCGATCTCCAGCTTCTGGGATTATGAAGGCAATCTGACCTAAGAGCCCGTTCTCTTCGAGCACGGCTTGGATAGCGCCCGAAGATACCGAAGAGGACGGTACATTTTGGGGGCGAACGACCTTCCGTCTCGGAAGAGGCGGGGAAGCATGGTTCACTGCTTCAAGGTTGTCCTCGGCAATTTCCGCTTCGTTAACATCAGCTTGAGGCGAGAATAATGAATGCGAGAAGAAGTTCCTCTCGGTCCCATATCAACAGTTCTTCCAAGCGGACACAGAGTCGATGCGAGTTCGAAGATTGTGTTTTCTCTTTACTCATTAGGGAGAATGAAAACGGTTTGGAGAGGAGATGCATCGGAATTTAAACAGAGATGGATTTCAGAGAGTGAAAGGTCGATACATGTGCCATCTTTTAAGTTCTTATCATTCAACGCCGGTCCAAGGACTTGTTTGGGGAAAGATGTGGCTATGACGCAGATGAAGACAGTGGCTGTAAAAATCATACAAAACTATAAGATAAAGATCGTTGAAGGACATAAGATTGAGCCGGTTCCTTCTGTTATTCTACAGATGAAGCAGGGTCTTAAAGTCATGGTCACTAAGAGATGTAATTTAGACTGAATGTTATGCAATATTTGTACTAAATACAAGTTTGGAAATAATGATCAGAACTCGTGACAAAAAAAAAAAAAAAAAACTCGTGACAACTATTGTGACACTATCAGAAAAAGTGTTATATTGTGAGATATTTTCTATGTTTTAGTTAATACACGCTAATTTTTTTTTTTTTATCATTTTTTAAATAGAACTTTTTGTCAACATTAAACTATGCTTAAAGCCTCATAAGTTTACTAGATTTTGCGTCCATGCTACGCGTGGGTATTTTGTTGATAAAAATTATCTACAATCAATCATATTTATTAAGATATAAATTTTATATATTAGTATCTTAATAAAATATTAAAAATATTATAGTGTTAATATATTTTTTATGTAAATTATGAGGTTTTAACGGGTTTTTTTAATCTATATACAATATGTATTTTCTCAAAAACGTACTATTTGGTCAAAGATTTATAAGTTAATATACTCAAACCGATTAAAATTTTTACAAAATAATTAAATGCTACTATTTAAATATAGTATTGACATGACGATAAAATATTATACATTCACTTCTTCAAATCAAGAAGATAATTGTTTTTCATCATTTTTACTTTTATTCCAGTTATATATGTGATCTTAAAAAAATAAAAATAAAATTTAAATTGAATCTTTTTTTCTTATTTAACCAATACAATTTTTTGATATACTAATTAAAAAACAAAGTAATAAATAAAATTTTGCTTTGAGATTAATAACAACTTTAAATTCGAAACCAAAAAATAGTTGAATATGAAATGATTAAAACCACACAAAATTTGTGAACTAAAATTTTTTTTTGTCAATTGGTTGTGTTAACTTTTAAATATTTTTTCAATGATTATACATCATCTCTTCTAATAAGAATGAAAAATAATTTTCATCATGTTCATTTTTATTTTTGTTAAATCTGTTTTTTTTTCAATAAATATATCATTTTTATTTATTTAATAAATTGTTTTATGATTATTTTCAATTTTATCATATTCATTGTCACTTCTTATAATTATAATTAAATAGATAAAATTGGTATAATTTAATAAATACAAATTTAGAAAAATGAATAACAAACTGAATAACTCAAAACTAAGAACTTCTTCATTAATCTTTTGTAACTCCAAGTCAAATATAAAAATATATTTTTTCCAATTATTTTTACATAATATATTATATAATATTATGTGGAAATATGTTTTGTATATGTGACAGAAATTTAGATGTATATAAATCATAAATATTATTTATTTAAAATTCTACTTGAAAAGCCTTTAAATAAAGTAACTTAAACTTGTATAAGTAGTATATTTTATATATATAAAAAATAAATTTGTAACTAAAAAAGTGATAATAGAGATTTTAATATTATGGTGGTTTATTTTTGTTGTTAATGGAGATTTTTTATTTTTAACCATAATATTAGGATTTGGAAACTTTTTTGAATTTTTAAATGTTGATATGGATGCCTTAAAAATAATATGGCTAAACTGTTATTAATAATAGAATAGTTTAAATTACAAATTTTCCTATATTGTTTTGTATTACCAATGTAATTTTATAATTTAAAAACTTTTTAAATTTTAATTATTGATGTAGACTAAAAACATTGACCTTTTACATGTTATGTGGATGTCTTTGGAAGCATATAGCTTCAGCTTTTATTTTTCTATAAATATTTTTTTTGTTAACAATACAGTTTTAAAATTTGAAAATTTTCTAAATTTTAGATATTGATATAAACCAATAGAATTGAAATTTTAAATCCTATGTGGACACTCTTAGAGGTATATAGCTTCAGGTTTTATTTGTAATATATTTAGATATTAACACTGGAAGATCCCACACGAGGCCCATTGCGGTAAGTGATTTTGGTTTCTCCTCTATGTTTTGAGGCTTACGGAATGTATTCTGATACTGTTTGATTCAGCTAATTGTTACCTTTGTGGTTCAGGTTGGATTGCTAAACCCTTGTCAGACACCATGTTATTCCAAAGATTTTCCTCGGATACCTCAGTCTCTTCGCCTTAATGCAGAACTTCTTTCTCTATTTCTAGTGGTTCGTTTTTCAAAAATTTTGGGTATCAATCACTTGACATGTTTCTCGGATTACTTGAAATTTATCATTCTTCTCAAATCTGGTGGCAAAACTTTAGAGATTTTACAGTCTCTTTTTCAATATTAAAACAGCTTGTAGTGTCTTTG